GTTCCAGGGGATCCAACTACCTCTTTTGTCCTCTGCAAGCGCTGCATGTGATATGGGTGAACTTATCAACATGCAAGCAATACATGCATACACATAAAATAGAAATAAATAAAATTTTAAAAATAGTAGCAATTATTTTCATTTTATGAAAAAGTTTCCCTTCTACCCACCCTACCTCCAGCACTGAACATAAAAGAATAGGCTTATGCATCAAGTTCATATTTATGGGAAACAGCAACAATGACCATCAATCATTTGGCATTTTTGTTTATAGTTGCTACAATACTTTTTTTCAATTTCAAAAGCCATTATTATCCAGTGTTGTCATGGAACAAAGATTGAGAAACCAAGTTTAAGTCAAAGAAAATAGACAGCAGGGCATTACACTAAATTTCTGGATCTGGCACACTGAAAAGAATGAAACCTAGGAAAAGTTATCTACTGTTCATAGAAGAGACGTCTATTCTGCTGCTAAGCATTTTGGTTGACTCTCTTATTTCATTCTTACCCCAAAATGCTGTCATGAATATCTCTGTGTACTTTCAGCTGAGTTTCTGTTTTTAAAAAATTGAGTTATAAGTATACACATTTATTATTTTCTAAATTCACTCTTAAGGATAGTCAAGAAAAATGTTGCCAAGTTACTGTGTCAATTAACTATACCAAACTATATATTCAGCATTAAGTAGCTAGTCAACTTTTGGCATTTTTCACGTTTTTAGTGTGGGCCAAAGTAGGCAATAGGAATTTTCTGGATAAAAGTTTAAGCTCTGGAAACCCCAAGATATAGCCTCAGCAACTTGTCCCCAATACACCAATTAAAGAAACAAGTTAGCTGGGCATGGTGGCACATGCCTCCAGCACTTGAGAAGCAGAGGCAGGCGGATCTCTATGATTTCAAGGCCAGCCTTGTCTCCATTAGTGGATCCAGGCCAGCTGCGGCTACAGGGAGACCTTGTCTCAAAAAGACCCTCCCCCAAAAAAAGAAACAAGTTAATGGTGAGGAGCATAGACATTTTTTCAATGTGACTACACTGGGAGGAACAACAGATAAAATGGTCCAATGACCCCCAAGTCAATCTTTGAGGTACTGACATGAACTTTTGGTTTAAACAGAGGAAGAATTGGGCAAGGGACAATATGTATGCATAATTATGCAGTCCTGGTCAAAATGTGGTCTGCATAATCGCTGTTTCAGTTCTGGTTCTACAAGGGATTCTGAAGAAGTCTTGCTGTCATTATCTGAGACCAATCCTGGATCATTATTTCTGCTCCAGGGTGCAGGCTTCTGCATCATAGATAATTACCCTCATCTGGGAAGATCCCTGTGTTATGAGGTTTTGTTCTTCCTGGAATCCAAGGTGACACTATTCAGTGTTCCAACTATACAAGATATTTCCATATTTTTCATCACTTCTTTGAGACTAGTTACTCCCACTCATGTTGTGATGCTGTGTATGAAAGCCATGCACGTGCTAGGCAAACACTGCACTATATATCCATTCCCACTTCTTTTATTGTAGCACTGCTTTATACCTTATGTGTCTGCTCTTGATGTGTTACTACTTTTTCAGTACTGAAGTGTGATCTAAGCCCAGATACACCATAAACCTGCAGATTGTTTATCATGAACCAGGCAAATGCTTACACAGAGTAGTAGATACCCTCATGCCTTCTCTCTGAGACTGAAGTATATCCAGATGGTTCATTCACATTCACCAGCCTGTTGCCGGCGCTCTGGAATTCTGCCTGGCAGAATCACTGTGGTGGGACGATCCTCAGGATCATATTCTACACCTCTAGCCACCAAAACCACAATCCTGTGTTACATGCTGGTTTCAGAACTTAACAAAACTAGTGCAGCTGTGAGGCAAGGCCAAGGGTTGCACTGCTCTGAATGGCTTACTGCCTGTTCCTGCTCAGCTACATATGATACTGACCAGAATGGAAGTCCTAGAGACTGGAGCCATGTATCTGTGCACTTCATCCTGTTGCACTGGAATTGTAGCATAAGTCTTGTTCCAGTGTTAATTTGTATTAGACCAGCCATGAATTCCAAGGTAGAGTTCTGCTCAGTCCTATCCTTCATGAATGTAGTATGATCTATACAATGGTGCTTGAGGTTGGCCTAGATTTGGTGAAGGAGTTCTTTGGCTACAAAGGCTAATGATACTGTTTTGTATCTAAATCTCACAGCCATAAGGACCTGTACAGTCTAAGGGTAAACCCAAGCCTATGCTGCACCTGATGTCGATGCAGACTTAAACAAGATCTATTCTACCAAGTGCAGGTCTCTGCTTGGTGCTGAGGCTGGTCTTGATGGTCAGCCTAGAAGTACTGGCCTGGGGCTACCTGTGCTGCTGAGATTAGGGGATGGATGTTGGAGAAACTTCCTTGACCACGAAGCCTAAAGCTAAGCTGGGTTGAACTGAGTCTTGCATTCCCAAGTACCTACACAGTCTATGCGAAGGGAGAGGGAGGTTGATTACTCCAACACTACCAGAGATGTAGGCCAAAATTCAAGTTTATATCTCTGGAATGCAGCTCTCGACCTGAT